CCTTGCCAATATCCAATGCTCCTTGGGTAGACATTTCCAAGGATTTTATCCTTAGTTTTCCTAGGACCCAAAGAGGAAAGGATTTCATCTTTGTGGTTGTGAACCGTTTTAGTAAAATGGCACACTTTATGATGGAGAAGGTGGGAGAAGTGATGGATGAACCTCTCCTTAGCTTCTCCTTAAGCTCGGATCTTCTTCAAAGGAGATTGGAAACGAAGTGATGAACCATAAAAGGAGGAAGAAACACACATATCCACAATAAGAAAACTTTATTTTGTTCGAAACTTGAGATGGTCACAGATAAAAATAGCATGCAACAAATGGCAGAAGATACATAGCACATTAACAATTGTATTGAAAACTGAAGAAGATTGTCGACATGCATATATTTACTAATTTACATAAAATGTGTATATTTCAATTCTTTCAAATATCAAATTCACTATACTATATATCTACTCTCTTTTTTAATTTGTCTATGGACATAGGTAATTTAGTATTCCAAAATTGACATTCAAAAATAAATCTAAGCTCGTAAGACATAAATTTTGCTAATCTTTTCTCTCTCTCTTTATAGTATAATATAATATAATTTTGATCAATATGAATTTCATGCTTAGATACATGTGTTCTCTATATACTTATCTATATCTACAACCAAATTTATATATCATTTTAGTAGCCACTACTAGGCGGGCCCAAATATGAGGCCAATATTTTTATATTTTTAATTAAAAGATATGATTAATTTTAAAAAGAATCTACACTTTAAAATATACATTTTAAAGCCTAACTATCTGTGGCCAGTTCTAACCACTACTAATAAGAATATTAAAATGAGTTAATTAGCACAAGAAATTACGTAGGTACTGTGTTTACAATGCTTTTTTCGTGTGTTTTTATGAAAAAAATAATTGACGATTGTTTATATGGACACTTTATTTCATTGGTTTAGGTGGTGGTGGGGTAGGATGCTGCTGCGTCCAATATGTAGAATATTTTTTAATTCATTATTAACCGAAAAAAAACAAAAACTCATGATTATTTATCTAAAAGATGAATTAAAAAAAAAATCCCAACACGTCTAGTTTCTTCCCAAGTACGGATATAAAAAAATATCAAATCATTGCGAAGCGGATAAGTGATAGGAAGCCGAGATATTGCCCTACGACCTACCTGTTTTCTTTTTGTTTTTTGTTTTTTAATAAAATTTAGATTCAGTTTTTTTATACACGTTATCCAATCACAATTAAAATTTTATCTTAATAATATATATTTATATTTAATACAAATCTCTTTAACATATATTTACGTATAATATAAAAATAAAACTTCAAATGTGATAGAACCAAAAGATCTTTAGGTAAGTTTTGCACATTCTTCTTTTTACCAATTCAGTTCACGAATATCGTGAGTTATTTATTTGTTTTTTTTCTTGGGTTGAAACCTCACAAAGATGAGATAGATGGAGAAATTAAATAATTGTAAAGATGAATGAATAATTGCAAAAGCAATAGATGAATGAACAGTATATGCATGCATGGGAGCATTTGTGGTTCGCATGTGAAACGTGGCTATACATGGATCCCTATCCCATCGCATTATTATTCTATAAAAGGGAAGAATGGAAGCATGTATGTTCATAAATTGCCGCTACACATTGAAAAGAATTAAAAATGGGAAGCATGTTTATGTTGGGAATGTGGTTGTTCCTATTGGTGTCACCATTTCCACTTGCATTCTCGGAGCGGTGCCACCCACATGACAAAAAAGCACTGCTCCAACTGAAGAAAGACCTCAACAACCCTTATATCTTAGCCTCGTGGGACCCAAATGAGGATTGCTGCGAGTGGTACTGCGTCAAGTGTGACGAGAAAACCAACCGCATTTACGACCTCGACATATCGTCCTCTGTGCCAGACACCAACCTCTCAGGCCAAATACCTCCCTCTGTGGGTGACCTTCCTTACTTGGAGTCCCTCACTTTCCATAAGCTCCCCAACCTCGTCGGCCCAATCCAGCCCACCATCGCCAAACTCACCAAACTCAAGTACCTCATTATCACCAACACAGGTATCTCCGGCCCAGTACCTGATTTTTTGGCCCAACTCCAGAGCCTCGACTTGATCAAACTTTCCTTTAACAGCCTCTCCGGCACTATTCCCAGCTCCCTATACCAACTACCCAATCCCGGGCTCATTCGGATCCTTCAACAAGCCCGGCCCAGATCTCATCCTCTCTCACAACCAGCTTTCAGGGCCCATTCCCTCTTCCTTGGGGAACTTGGACCCCGAAAGGATCGACTTGTCAAGGAACAAGCTCCAAGGCGATGCCTCCGTGCTTTTCGGGAACAACAAAAGGACCCAGATACTTGACCTTTCTAGAAACTTGTTCGAGTTTGATCTTTCTCCCTTGAAGTTTCCCACCAAGAGTTTGATATGGCTTGATCTCAATCACAACAACATTTATGGGACCATTCCTTTGGCCCTCACCAAAGTGGAAAACCTGCAGCAGTTCAACGTCAGCTATAATCGATTGTGTGGTGAGATACCTCAGGGTGGCCAGTTACAAAGGTTTGATGAGTATTCCTATCTTCACAACAAGTGTTTGTGTGGCTCCCCTCTTCCTCCATGCAACTCTTACTCTATGGCGGACATCTAATCTATTATCAGAATAATATACATCACTTCAATCGCCATGTTTATGTTTTAATAACATGTGTGTCATTTAGACATGTACCATGTTCAACTCATAAGTTGAAGTGCATCTTTACTTTCCTTTATCCTTAACTAAAATTCGTTATATTTACAACTAATGCTCTGAATATATACACCACACTCATCGATACCAATCACATGCTTGCGCAATTCCAGGGGGAAAAATGAACAATTCATATGAATATGATCTATAGCCCAATCACACATGCTTTGGTAACGATAAGGATCCTCTCCATTTCCTATGGTTTTAAGTATATAAAGCACATTAAATGTCCATAATCAAAAATATTAACTCAGAATTATAGTAATGAACAGGAAATGGACAACAAAAAATAGAGAAGATCTAAACCAAGAATTCGTACAAGAGAGCTTTCTTATAAGTTTTAGACAAGATAGTTATGAGCAGTACAGAAATACTATACCCACACATGCCATCAGTTGCATACAATCAACAAAACAAACGACCTACACTACATAATTAGCACCTAAAATACTATAACTTTAGTTCATACAATAAAGTTTTAGGATTCAACCATTCTATATACAAAACACCACCGCGACATCAAATTAAGATAAATTCATGCACTATTTTTCCAAAAAAAAAAAAAAAAAAAAAAAGAGAGAGATAGAGAGATCCAAATCCATCCGCGGCAGCAAATTGAACGTCATAGCCCCCTACAAAACTTAAGAATTTCAGCTTAATTCCATCCCCTGGCCGTACGAACTTGCTGCTAGACACAACTGAATTATCAAAGCAAGAACTAAAGTAGTAGCAACCAGATAGTTTTAACACATTGTCATTCAATGCAATGCAACATGAAACGAGATCAACCACAAATCATGTCAAAACCCAAACAACACCACAGCAAATAATTAAAGAGATAGTGATAATAACTAACATTCCTCATGACACACCATGTCAAAAATTTGTGCTTGCCGTGCAGTTTAAACTGCTTCAACTGTATACAAGGCATACCAAATATTTTCAACTGCACACGTCACTAGGATATGCAGAACCTCGAAAATTATTTCTAATATATTCGCCAACCAGAGTACTATAAGCCTATTGCATGTCCTATAATCTTAGAGTGAAGGATAGTTATTGATTCTATCGATTGTTTGCCACCACAAGAACAAATCCTAACATACATACGTCTTGTAAGTAATTTAAACAATCTTGATCAGTTTTGGCAGCCTTCAAATCTGCCAGTAACAAGCGTTCATCTTTCAGTGCAAAATATATACGCATCCCAAGAGTGCAAACCTTGCCACTTATTTGTAATGACTCAACAATTTTGCATCTATTTATGGGTATTAAGTTTAATAAATGCATAAAAGAATTGAAAAGTGAAATCAAATCAATTGTTCTCATCAGCACACTCGAATACAACACGCATACTAGTTTTCTCAATCAAAGAACGAATGCAGTTTCATTGAACAACGGTAATCAGCAAGCACGAATAAAATTAATTGGACAAGGTAAATGCAGCTTATGCTGGCACGGAGCATATGCAGAATGCAAGTTACATGAGGCATACAACTCAAAATAAAACTAAATCACATAGTTGAGCCAATTATCTCATTTACTATCAGAATATGTTATTTGCAACCTTGAGCTTTATGAACAACTCTAACATAAGGTTATGCTCACTATTTTGTCAATAAGTACTTACTGTATCAGCACTTGCATTGTCATTATAGAAATCGATAGTCGTCATCATCTTCATCATCATCGTCATTATCAAGCGCCATGTTGTCTTTGTTCATCTGAGCTGGGCATGACCTCAAACAATGACCCGCAGCCTTGCAAACACCACAAAGAGTGACGAGCGATCCCTTTGTGTTCTTGGCCCATCTATCTAGGACTAGACTTTTAGGCATCTCAGTCATGTGTAGATATTTCATCACACCAACTATGTGATCACATGGAATACCCAAAGATTCCATCTTCAGACATGAACATTTTAATTCTGAAGTTGATGGGAAAAATGAAACACGCCACTCCTTTCCTATCACCAGATACTTCTGCACAACATAAATAGAAAACATTGTTGTTTCCTGACAATCAACTACGCTAACTGAGCATCCTTCCATAAGCACAGGACGAAATAGCAAATATATCTCCCTTGTGAACACCTTTGAAGCTGACTTCTCCAATTTTTTCAACGGTGTAATGCAAACAGGCTCACCATTCCAAGATTTGAAGTCAGCTTCAAGTTCTTTATGGCGCATATAATCCAGGAACTTCATGTAGTACTGCAAGAATTCTGTCAAATCGTTGTGTGAATCTACAAATTTCACAAGTACAGAACGCAAACCTTTGCACCGAGATGTGGTCCTGTTTTCAGCAAAAAAAAATCCACGAATATGAGCCGTGGCCCACATCTTCCTCTTCTCCCACATCTCTCTAACCCAGCTATTGTCTTGCACCCCAAACTCTTGAACCATTTCATCCCACCTAAGCTCAAATTCACCAACCTCATAATCATCAAACATAAATTTCTTAAACTCTGCCGTGAATCTTTCGTTCTTGACAATGGCTTTTGCATTTCGTAGAAGGTGAAATGCGCATAATCTATGATAAGCATTAGGAAATATTCTTCTTATGGCACTCCTCATAGGCACATTGTCCTCAGTTATAACAGATACAGGTGTTTTCCCACCCATTGCTACCAGAAACTGCTCTAGAAGCCACACATACGTTTCTTCAGTCTCATCTGCAACAAAGGCACTAGCAAATACAGTGGTCTGGTTATGATGATTCACCCCGGAGAACAGCACCAAAGGACTCATGTATTTATTTTTTCTATAAGTCGTGTCAAAAGCCAAAACATCACCAAATACTGCATAGTCCTTCTGGCTGGCTCCATCACACCAAAACAAATGCTCCAACTTTCCCTCCTCGTTAACTGAGTGCCTCCAAAACACTGCTTGATCGGTATATTGCAAGTGACCAAGGTATGCCAAAGCAGCTTCTGCATCAAAGCATTGCCTTTGTCTTTTCTTGCCTTGTTTCCAAGATCCAATCTTCTCCACTGCTCCACTTTCATTAGTGTCTCTTGTACGCTCGCAGCCCGATGACATTTCTTCTTCTTCCAACCCCTGACAGATGTTAATGCTAGCAATTAATAACTAGTTCCCATTACAGTAATAGCTCTTTCACATCTTTAATTCCTACATAAATTAGACATAACATGACCAAAATCAACTATACTCATACGAGTATTATCCCATTAAATTGTATAAAAGATTTCGATACCAATGATGATGACCACGACAACAACAAAAATGCACCTGCAGCACTGCATTTTAAGGGTAGTTCTAGCTCGAGCTTCATCCTTGCCAACTACAAGACTCTTCTGTGTTGGCAGCAAATAATAACTTCACAATAATATATTCCGTTTCATAATTTTTTTTTAATCCATAAGAATCCTTACACATATATACTAGTTCGACCTAATGGTGCAGTTTCTTAATATTAAGATACATATCCACAATAAGAAAACTTTATTTTGTTCGAAACTTGAGATGGTCACAGATAAAAATAGCATGCAACAAATGGCAGAAGATACATAGCACATTAACAATTGTATTGAAAACTGAAGAAGAGAAAGACAAGCACAATAATGAACACTACATTCTAGTGCGCCAACCGACCTTTTACCTTACCTCCAGTGCACCAAACGACATTCAAAAGGAGAACGCTTAGATTTAGTTCATACAATAAAGTTTTAGGATTCAACCATTCTATATACAAAACACCACCGCGACATCAAATTAAGATAAATTCATGCACTATTTTTCCAAAAAAAAAAAAAAAAAAAAAAAGAGAGAGATAGAGAGATCCAAATCCATCCGCGGCAGCAAATTGAACGTCATAGCCCCCTACAAAACTTAAGAATTTCAGCTTAATTCCATCCCCTGGCCGTACGAACTTGCTGCTAGACACAACTGAATTATCAAAGCAAGAACTAAAGTAGTAGCAACCAGATAGTTTTAACACATTGTCATTCAATGCAATGCAACATGAAACGAGATCAACCACAAATCATGTCAAAACCCAAACAACACCACAGCAAATAATTAAAGAGATAGTGATAATAACTAACATTCCTCATGACACACCATGTCAAAAATTTGTGCTTGCCGTGCAGTTTAAACTGCTTCAACTGTATACAAGGCATACCAAATATTTTCAACTGCACACGTCACTAGGATATGCAGAACCTCGAAAATTATTTCTAATATATTCGCCAACCAGAGTACTATAAGCCTATTGCATGTCCTATAATCTTAGAGTGAAGGATAGTTATTGATTCTATCGATTGTTTGCCACCACAAGAACAAATCCTAACATACATACGTCTTGTAAGTAATTTAAACAATCTTGATCAGTTTTGGCAGCCTTCAAATCTGCCAGTAACAAGCGTTCATCTTTCAGTGCAAAATATATACGCATCCCAAGAGTGCAAACCTTGCCACTTATTTGTAATGACTCAACAATTTTGCATCTATTTATGGGTATTAAGTTTAATAAATGCATAAAAGAATTGAAAAGTGAAATCAAATCAATTGTTCTCATCAGCACACTCGAATACAACACGCATACTAGTTTTCTCAATCAAAGAACGAATGCAGTTTCATTGAACAACGGTAATCAGCAAGCACGAATAAAATTAATTGGACAAGGTAAATGCAGCTTATGCTGGCACGGAGCATATGCAGAATGCAAGTTACATGAGGCATACAACTCAAAATAAAACTAAATCACATAGTTGAGCCAATTATCTCATTTACTATCAGAATATGTTATTTGCAACCTTGAGCTTTATGAACAACTCTAACATAAGGTTATGCTCACTATTTTGTCAATAAGTACTTACTGTATCAGCACTTGCATTGTCATTATAGAAATCGATAGTCGTCATCATCTTCATCATCATCGTCATTATCAAGCGCCATGTTGTCTTTGTTCATCTGAGCTGGGCATGACCTCAAACAATGACCCGCAGCCTTGCAAACACCACAAAGAGTGACGAGCGATCCCTTTGTGTTCTTGGCCCATCT